GTGTGTGTGTGTGTGTGTGTGTGTGTGGGGGGGGGGGGCGGCAGAAACCAGACCAGACTATCAAGGGAGCCACCCCAAAGCGCAGGTATAGCGGCAATGTGACTGTGGAGCCGGAGGTGTGGAGCCTATTAAATAACTTTTTTTGGTTGCTATTGCCAACAACTGACCAGATACTTCTCCATCATTACAGGCAAAGCCCGTGGGCCTCCAGGTTTGTCAGTGCACTGCTCGGCAACACGCAGCTCCTCTCCGGCCTCATACACGGACTCTGGGAGCTATTTCATAACCAGGTACACAAATCCATATTCCGATGTCTCTACATCTGTATTTCGCTGAGTGCCTGTTACCTCCCACCTTTTTGGACTACGTTAAAGTCACTTCACCTCTTTATTCCTCCACGCCGCTCAAACCAGTACATGCACTCTTCAGCTTCATGAACCTCTTCTGTCCAAAAAAGGCGGCGGCGCTCAGCGCCGCCCACCTACTCGGCCTGGCGGTGTTTGCGGTCCATCTCCACGCCTGCATGCCCCACGGTCCTCTGGTCCAGCTGTTCCCGCCCACACTCCCGGAGCCGGTTCGCGTCGGAGAGGCTCTTAGCTCGGCGCTGGTCTGCAGCACACACTCCAACATGCTCTTCTGTGTCAGGTGAGGTTACGTGTGGATTCCTTGAACGTTTCTTGTGTTGCCGGTAATATGTGACACTGGCGTCTGGCCCGGCTGCCACCTTCACTCACAGTCTTCTCGTTGCCATCCAGGTTGTGTGTGGCAGCTTTGTGTTACGGGATCTGCAGAGGGGACTCATTGCCTCAGCAACAACAGCAGGACTACATCCTCAACAGCTTCTATAAGAAGGTGTCTTTTTCATCTTACTTTCAATAATGTCATGAGGTTTGTGTTACTTAAAAATCTCATAAGACTCACACCGTGAAAGGGCAATTTGGGAAATTCTTACACCATTTACTTGTAAAAGGGTTGAAGCTGTGATAAAGCAACAGTACAAAGGTGCTGAGGTGGTGTTGTACTTAAAGAGTAACTAAACCCCCAAACTTTTTTTCCAGCTGAAAACCACTGTATACGGTTCAAATCGTGACATTTTAGTGCAAATTCTTCGTATTGTGTTATAAATATAGATAGTGACTGCCCCTTACTTGTTAAAACCCGGCTATTGCAATTGAATTTTGCTATTGGCTGGTCTAGAGGCAGGTGATGAATATGGAGGCAGCTTTCATCACCAACAAAGGTTTGTTTTTAGATGTTAAAATCTTCATTTTGAGTAAATGTTTTGCCGCCAAATCAAATAGTTTACAGGATATTCAACCATCATTTCTTTATAATGCATTTAATACTTGACTTTTTTCTTTACAGGCTCTCATAGTCCATGAATATGAGATATGAGTTTACAGATAATTACAATCCCTCCTCGTCATTGTGGAGGTTAGTTTATGGCTTTTTGTCGATTACACCTACAGTCTATGAGCATATGCCTGGGTTATACTCGTTGTCTTTTTGATTCTTTACAGTTCATTTTCTTTATACACCCTCTGGCGTGTCGTAGATTATGCAGCGCATAGAGTATGAATGCCTCTGTTCATACTCGGAGCTTGCGCGCCGTCTGCAGAGGCTTGCGCTACAGCGCCAAGCACGAGTATAAGCTAAATTTTACCCTTTCAATTACCCAGTGACTCCCTTATGCTAATCGTTAACATACATAGAGCTAATGCTAATGCTAATTGCTAGCATCAATATATCTAAGCCTTGCGTATTTACTCAAATTACAAATGTTTATAAGAGTTTACAATGTATTTTTTTCAACATAACAGACTCTTTTACTGCTCTCTTACGTAACCAGAATTATAACAGTTAGCATGCTAGCGATTAGCATTGAAAAGGTGGAAAGAATCGTCTGTCATTAGACGGTAATTCAAAACATGTAAAGGTTAAAGTTACATAGACCAAGACCAGCAGTTCAATTTATTGAGAAGAAAAGCAAATATGTCTTTAATGAAAATTAAGTCATTTTAACATTTATTTAGCTCTAGATCATCCCACTACTGTGAGCGAGGGGGAAAGAGAGGGCTCTGGACTGATCCAGCTGTATCTGCCCCTTGTCGCTGTCCTTGTCTCTCAGACCTCAGTCCCCACAATTGTACAACCAAAACGCATAAAGTTGGCGGTTTGCTAGTCAGGATTGGTGATTAATGTATATCTTTGCCACCTATGAGAGTAACTACAGAGAACTCTTCAACGGTGTAATGGTTCCACCAAGAAACCCTCTCTGGGGGTTCTATCTAGAATCTTTCCACCCCCGGGGTTCCACTGATAATCCTTTTATATTCCAAGGGTTTCATCTATAACTCGATCAGGGCTCCTCATTATGTGGGGCTGTGCGACCCGCAACAATCCTGGTTCACAATCACAGTTTCTGGAGGTGGGGCTTGGAGGATCTTTTAAAACCCATGCTTTCAACAATCCTTTAAAGAACTGTTTCAAATCATTTTATTTGAATGAAAAGGGTTCGTAACGGAACCCGTAGTCTTACAAATAACCGTTGACAAAAACAAAAGAAATGGGTTCTCAGAAACAAATGGTTGTGGGGTAGAACCACAGCCCTTCAGGAAGAACCCATTTGGAACCCTTATTTCTATAGACTCTATTTCATTATTATATTATTGTATTTGTTATAACTCTACGTATAACTGTGTTGGTTTAGCTCCTGTACCTCATCCCAAGACTCTCGCCTGAAACCAGAGGAACTCCCATCACTGCTGGCGGTCTAATCGGTGACCACCAGGAGGAGAACCCGCCGGGCCTGTGGAGCAGTGCCACAGACGCCAACGGCACCTGGAGGAAGACCGCTTGGCATCTGTGGAGGCACCCGGTGTTCCGTCAGCTGGAAAACACGCCACAATATCAGGTACGTTATTTTCAATGAGCATCGGAGAGCAACCAGTGGCTTCCTTAGTTTTACTTTTGTATTATTTGTTAAATTAATTTGATTGATGAAAACCTTCAACCTTTATGTTTGTCAAGCTATCGTTCTCAGAATGGGTGGCTATCGAGCTCAGAGTACGGAGAAGTGAAGACGCCCTGTCAGACCCAGAACGGTAAAGGAATGGAGCACACACACGCACAAAGTGTCTAATGTCTAGTGGCTCCTGTAAGAGCTTGTGTGTGTGTGTGTGTGTGTGTGTGTGTGTGTGGGTGTGGGTGGGTGGGTGGGTGTAGTCAGGAGTACCAGCAGTGGGCCTGCTGGGAGCTCTACCTGTCCTGTCCGGAGGAACAGGGAGGCTGTGGTGGAGACACGAGGATCCTCTGCTCTCATCTGCTCAATGCCGTCATGGACCAGCAGCTAAGGTCGGTGTACATGTTGACAACACGTGTCCCGTGTGTCAGATTGAATTATTGTACATAAACACACTTTTAAAAAAAGACATTGAGTTGTAATAGATTTCTTTCTGTTGTGTAGCTGAACTTTTTGCCAGGTTTGTGTGTCGGGTCTTTTTGATAGAAACGCTCCAAGAAAAGATATAACGGGCGGCGTGAATGACACCTGAGTGTATATGTCTTTATTCAGTAGGTTTAAGAAATCTGCTCCAAGTGCTGTTTCTTTGATGAAAGATTGTTTGAGCATATTGGCACAGCCGATTGTCCACTGATCACAGGGTTGGAGGTTCAATTCCCGGCTGCAAAGCATCAAAAGCAACATAATTATATGACACACATGCTGAGGAAGACAGAGCCTGAAATGTATTTGTGTTTAATATAAAAACAGATTCAACTCAAAATAATATCAACATATCATTATTTGACAGTTTAACTGATGCACAAGGTGCACCTGATCTTAAAAAAATAATAAATTAATAAAAAAAAAATATATTTTCACCTTAAGTGAGGATGTAACTCTTCTATGTATTTTACGTCAACAGCAACCAGAGCCTGGACAAGCTGCATCACAGAGTGTCAGAAACAGGGACCTGTCTGCCAGACATCCTGTCCCGGTTACAGGTGTGTATACTGTTAAGCTGTTCATTTGAAACAAGTGTAAACTATTAAATTGCGTGATGTTGTGGTCCTGAATACATTCATTGTTAAAACGCAAAAAATTACAGAAGAAGGTGACGTTAAATCAGAATCTGAACGTGTGTGTGTGTGTGTGTGTGTGCGTGTGCGTGTGCGCGCGCGCAGGAGCTTGTCTATGACATGGAAGTGACCAACCTCTGCCGTGGAAGCAGCCGACCCGACGTGAGCGACGTCCTGTTGGAATCGGTGTCTCAGAGATGCTCCTCCTCAGCTCCACCGAGCATCAGGGCCGAGCTCAGCCTGCAGCACACGCTGAGCACGTGGAACAGGTGCTCACACACGGACGTACATGTCATGTAGATCATGTGGTGGAAAATTTCTAGGTTAATCGGGAGAAGAGAGTTTTTGTTCACAAATTAATAATGAAGTCATCAGAAGATTCAAAGTTGTCTTTTTCCGTTTATTCTCTTGCAAGTGGGAAGAAAGCACAGCAACTACGTATTCAGTAGACTGCGTGAAACCTTCGACGAAATGCAATATTCAACATCATTTATGCATACAAAGGTTCACGCCTTTACAACTTCAGATAATGCGTCAAAAGGGGAGTATGGCATTTCAGACACAGGCTGTCTGTCTCTGCGGACATTCATTTCTGGAGTCAAGGTCTCTCTGTGTCTTTGTCTTACCAACAAAGACACAGTGTCTCTTCACTTCTCACCCTTGTGGGAAAAGATAACAAGACACCCGGATACAAAACTAATTAAAATCATCTGCAGAAACTGCTGTTCTGTGTCTGCCTGTGTTCCTCACTTTCAGTTGTACAGTCTCTAAAATTTCACATGATACTACAACATATTTTCCCATTACAATCATCTCTGTCATTTAATGTGTAAGCACTGAACACTGTGCGTGTGTGTGTGTGTGTGTGTGTGTGTGTCACAGGGTCCTGCTGGCTCTCCCAGCAGTGTTGCTCGTTAAAGTGAGGTCCGAAGGAGGGAGGGAGACTCTGGAGTGTGACACGCTGATAGAACATGTCAACCAGCATCAGGTGAGCTGCAGAATAAATCCAATTTTAAAACATTTTGAATGTGGACTTAATAGAGCCCACTCCTTTCTCTGTCTCACCTCCTCTCCATCTGTCCGACTGCAGAGGAAGGCGTGTTCTCCGGTCGGCTTGCTGTCCTGCCACCTGACAACACACCTGCTGAGAGTGAGAATCGCTTCACTGAAATCTAAAGATGAATCAAATCTAAGGTGCATAACTTCTTGCTCCAGTTGAGTTGAGTCCGCTCTCCGCGTGTCCTCTCTCCAGGGTGTGTTGTGTGCCGGCGCACGCTGCAGACACTCGAGGGAAGAAGTCAACAAAGCCTGGTCCCAGATCAGTCTACGCTGTCCACTACTCCTGGTCTCCACAGCGGTAATGTTTGTTCTCCACACAGCTGATGAACTCGATTTGCTTTTTCATGCCGACTTCTGTCTTACACACGCTGATGCTTTTTGGATAGGATCTTTTTCCATGGAAGGCATTTTTACTTGTAGGAAAGTGTAAAAGATACGATGAAAGATGCTTCGGTTTCATGGTCCTGATGGTGTTCATGCTGGCTCATTGTGGGTAAAGAAATAATAATTACCAAGCTGGGGGAGGGGGTAATATTCCAAGGAAAAACTCAGGAAAAAAAAAAATCTGAGATTCAACTCACAAATTTGCAAGATTTTTAAATTATCAATATATGACAAAACTACTATATAATATATTTTGCACTCTGGGGCTCACGTTAGCACAGTGTTTAATGGCGGCATCTGAGGTTGATCCAGCCTTACAAAGTGAAGCCATGTGGTTCCATAACAAAAAAAAACAACTCTATTTTTCATGACCACGGTGTTGCACTCCACTAGTTTTTTTTTCTCATAATGCATTCACGTGTCAAAAATCATAAATGTGGTGTTCATGTGTGAAGATTATCTTGCTGAACAAAATGTGTAAAACGTTTGTTTGTCACAGAGATTGTTTTCAGCAATAATCCAAAATCCAAAGGAAACCTGCAGAACTATTTTGTGGTAAAATGATGACAGAGAACGAAGAAGGGGAGACGTTAAATGCAGATTAAAGTGAGAAAATGTAATATGCCAAAAACATGCACCAATAGAAGACACATCCGGTCATAAAGAACACGGAGAAAGTCACAATGCGTGTCACGCTCAATGCTCTTCCTCATTTTTCTGCATTCCACGGCTTCCCACCTTTTGTCTATGCGTCATCACTGACACATCTGGAAAGGCGTTTTTTATACTGCTAAGTTGTGTCATGCATCCCTGTGAAACAATCTAAAATAAGAAAAAGAAATCTGCCCTCTAAGTATAGCGCCACATATTTTACCAGTTTCTGTTACATATCAACTTTTTGAAGAATCTTGAGAAAAATGAAACCACAAGTGGAATTTCATTCTGACTCTTCTACATTGAGTAAATACGAGTAGAATGACTCGGTAAGTACATCCTTTCTGCATTATTTTGACGATAACATGACATGGTTATATTATGTAAGTAGGAAATTCATGAAATCAGTACTAATGCAGACCTCATAAATGTTTTTTTTACTTTGTGTGTGTTTGTGTGTGTGTAGCACTGGTGGGAGCGTGTGTCTCCGGTGCTTTTGTCCCTGTGGCGTCGCCTGTGTGACGGAGAGCCTCTACCAGAGCAGCTGCAGCTCCTTGCTGACTGTCAGAACTGGGCCTGCAGGTGAAGCTTCATTCTCATGAACCACCGTCTCTGATCTCATGTACTTCCACATGCCAGCGTTGAAACATGTAACTGATGGTGTGAGGGATGAGAAGAACCGGCATAATCTGGATCCCTTCAGCTTCTGTTTCAGTCTGTGTGTTTGTCTCTCTGGTGGTATGTGTGTTTGGTATTTGCTCACATGGTGTTTTTAAATTCTGTCCGGCATTTAGTTTGGAGAAGGGGCTGCCGTCGTCGCCGGTACCCGCGGCTGCAGCTCTGCTGCTGGCCGCCAGCCTGCACCGCGCCTGGCGAGGCCGCGGGCGCAACGAACAGGGCTTCAGCGCTGCCCTCAGCGTGCTGCGGCCACAGAGGAGCACGCAACACCGACAGGTGAGAGCAGAGAACTCTCTCATAGTCACGGCATTTTGACCAGCATTCAGTCAAAAGCGAACAGCGTATTTGTATGTTTGTTTTTCAGAAACGTGGTCTTTATATATGTGTGTGTGTGTGTGTGTGTGTGTGTGTGAAATATATATATATATATAT